AATTTAAAAATTATTTGAGAGCCATAAAACAAATGAAATCACCATTATGTGAATAATATCCTTTAAAAATTTTATAAATGAAACTATGATAGTTTCATTTTCATTTTCAATTTTACTTCAGGGCCACATGTACGTACCCAAAGAGCCGCATGTGGCTCGCGAGCCGCTGTTTGCCGACCCCTGGTCTAGCTAATGAAATCACAAGCTCCAGAGTGGCTGCGAGGGTATTCTGCTTTCTTCCGGTTTGATACAGTGCAGAAGCTACTGAAAGGTAGGAGAGGAGGGTTCTAGATTCAGTTCTAGCACTACTTAGCTGTGGGAGTTCTGGTAGGTCGTTGTCCTTCCTGTTTCAGTTACCTTATCAGCAAATTGAGAATGAGAAAACCTGCCCTGCTATATGAGAGAATGATTATAAGGATCAGATGAAACTTTATTGATATAAAGTGCTATTATCATTACATCATAGAGACCTTCATTTAAATATTTGAGGGGAGAAAAGCTAAGGGCTGAGGGTGTTTAACTTGGTGAGTGGGGTGAAGACATTCAGTGATCATGTTGAACCACAGGCGGGGAATTCCCCATCATGTCTTGGAAACCTCATCCAGTGAACAGCAAGGCTCTCAAAAAGCAGGGTTGGGAAGTGGGAGATGGTCCATTGAGGTTCCACTGAGCTATCTCAACGTAGCTGCCATTGGCTGTTTCAATGACGTATGAGCCAGTGCTTTTCCTAAGCCTTTCAGAGCTGCCCAGCCGCTCTGGTTACGCCATTAATCTGGCTTTTAATCTTAGTTGAAGTAGATGTATCTTTTGCTCATCAAATTCTTAAGTTGTTAGAAAATACGGATAAGTTGACGGGTTTGTCTGCCTGCCTGACCTTTCTGGTTTCTCAGTGGTTACTTTATCTCTGTGATTCTTTTGTGCCACCCTGACCCTATCCTCCTTCCTTGCCTCCTCCACTCCCTCAACACCATCTCCTACACAGATGCCTTTTTATTTCATTGGCTGCCAGGAACTCCATTTTCTTAGCAGTAGCGGTTTTCTTTTCCTTCCATTTTAAAGAGTTGCCATTGTGCGAGACTTGCTTATAGCACTGAACAAAGGGAGTGAGATAAGGACTCTCATTCCAGTTCAGCTTCTTTTACCCTCTGGGAGAAGCTGTCCCCTTCTTTGGGCAGTTTGCAGCAAGGAAAACAGCAGTTTCACAGCAACAGTTTGTTGCCAGAACCATCTTTCTAAATGGAGATGTTACTTACTCAAAGCCTGATGACACCCCTCTGCCCATCCAGGCTCCACAGGCCACTCAGGCACACCGATAGATGGCTTTTGTTTGTCCTGGCCTGGCCTCCACAAGGTTTAAAACAATTTAAACTAGTAAGAACTTTAAAGATGGGACGATTTTAAAAATCAAATCCAGGATTTTGGTTTCTCTTGGGAAATTGTTAGATGGCAATGCTGGGCACCAGGAACTGTTGGGCCACCCCTTAGCCAAGGCTAGTGTTCTCCAGATAGTACAGCTACCACCCGGCCTGTCACTCCCTTACATTATGTAGGTAGGTACTTGTGTTTGCTCCCCCAACTATTGGATCAAGTTCAAACTCCTTATAGGAGTACAGGGTCCTTCCCAATTAGGTCCCACCCTGCCTCTGCCTCTCACCTCCTGCCACATTCCCACAGGCATTCTGACAGTAGCTATGTTACTAAATGGATAGTTGCTTGCCTGTTTGAGTTGGCTCACTCACATTATTCTTTACCAAAGAGACCCATTTTGCAGATCCCTCTGGATCGTCCATTTAGCAACAAGTTTTGTGCCTGGCCACCACTGTGGAGTGTTTCAAAGGAGTTACCTACATTTTAGATTTTCATGGTGTATTTATCCAAAGCTTCTGTGAAGGGCAAGAAGCAGAGGAAGGAAGAAAGCAGATGGGGCTCTTCCTGTGCTTATGGTCGTTTCCAAAACGAATACATTTCATTTGGTTACTCAATCATGTATTTCCAGACATTGTGCTCTGTGAAGTTGAGGGCATAGCAACAAAATGATTGTTTACTTTGGTTAGTATATCTGTTGTTAAACATGGCCCATTCTTTCCCAGAAGTATGGGAAAATTCGTATATCCGTTTGCCTTGGTACTTGTACTTCTAGACAATAAAAATCAATTCAAGCTATTGAGTAGTTACTTACTTTATTACTGTTCACATTATGTCCAGGAGCTTGCAGAGGAGTGGTTTTTCAGAAACTGAGCATTTGCTTCTCCAGGTTTTGGGCTTCATTTCACTGGGGTCATCACTTGTCCCAAGTTCCGTTCTATGCTGGTTCAAAACTTGATTTCTTCAGGAGGAATCAGGCTTTAGGAATTTATGTCACCCTAGCCAAACTCACAAGGTTTGTTTGTAAACGAGAATATTCATCTTTTTGCATATTTATTGAACACCTACTGCATGTGTGGCCCTGTCCTAATCTCTGAGGAAACAGAAATGAATCATAAATATGATGTGGTCCCTGCCATTCAGAAGCTTATGGTCCGGAAGTGGGACAGATGAGTAAACAAAGACATTATATATAGCGTGCTAAGTGTAGGGCGACACTCTGGGTTGTCCTGGTTTATGCCTGATGTCCTGGTATAACTGTTAAAGTGCCCTTTTTCAAAACTACTTAAGGGCCACAGTAAATTCTCTATGGATGTTTGGGGTACAGAGATGGTAGAAAGGAAGGAAAAATCAGCCTGCTTTCTCAGAGAAGATACTTGAGCTGGGTGATAAGGAAGTTCGGGCAGTCAAGGTCTGGGATCTTAAGGTGAGGGCAAAGGGGAGGAATGTGCAAAACTCTGCAGGGCAAAGAGAGATTGTTCTGGAAGCAGCGATTAATTTTACACTTAGTAAAAATACAGATTTGCATATCCTTCTCGCAATTTGAATTTTTTTTTAAAGAAGCACCCCAGATGATGCTTGGACATATGAAAGGCTCAGAACCAATTCTCTACTGATTATGTCTAGGAGTACCAAAGGTTGGGAATAAAGGGGGACAGGGACAGCAAGACTAGAGCACAAGTCACAGACTAGCCAGGCAGGGGTGACCCCAGATGAGAAAACCCTCAGAGGTATTTGGGAGGCATTTACAGTGGAACTGTGAGAAATAGGGATGCAGAGGAATGAAAAGATTTGAGAACTATTCAGGAGAGGAAGAATAAACAGGACCTAACATATTCCAGTTACTGATTTACATTGGGTAATATTATTTCCAGGCAACAAAATACTTGTGTTAAATATAGGAACCTGGGGGCCCTTATAATCTAAAGGTTTATGTGGTGAGCCATAAACCTAAAAATACAGTTGGGTAGTGTTGTGGTATATTTCCTGTGGACCTAAAACAAAATGACTCTTGTTTACTTCACATCTTCATAGTCTCCAGAACACTCATGACAATTGTGTTTATCTCTGAGAAGGAGCTGGATGAATTCTTTAAGCATCCCAACACTCCCAACACTTTAATCTAGACGTCAGGCAACCCCCTGCCCTATTGTTATGGTGAAACTACCTGCCTATCTTATCTTGCATTATTTTTGCTTTTGTGTTTGTTACCGAATATGTAAAACAGTCATGATTCATCAACAATATACGTGCCAACGACTTTGTTCCTAAGTTCTGGAGCTGGTCTCTCTGTGGGAACCTGCAGCCACTTCACAGATTCACCATTAACTCTGGGAAATAATAATAGTACAAGAAACACTTTATCCAGCCATGGAGACCATTAAGCCTGGTGTTTGAGGCAGCTGATTCACTTGGTGCATTGGTGACTCTGCGGATCAATCCCTAAATGGAAAATGAAGACAATCCGAGCTCTGCCTTGAAGCATTAAGAGGGTTTTTATTTTGAAGACTGCCTTCACCAGGCCTGTTGGCATACTTCTGAAGCAGTAAACTAAGTCAGAAATCAAAGACTTGGAAGTTATGAAAAGAAAGCCTCAAAAAGGAGAATGGGAAACCGATCAGGCTATAATTTCACAGGATAATTTAGCACCCTTTACCCAAGACCTGGTCACAGAGAGTCCAAGAGTGCGGTTTAGGGAGGGACAAAGCATCTAAAATTGCAGCCCTTGGCTACTCTTGTAGCGTTGCTACAAGGCATTTCCAAATTCTAGGAGTGATAGGGTTGAAGGCGAACAGGCTGAAATAGTTCACGCTGTCAATATCAGGGAGGGGGGAAAACACCAGACACCATCGGCCTCAAAAGTTTTTTGTGTTTTTTTAAAATTTTTATAAGGGGCTTAACTTCTGTGTGATCCAATATCACCAACGCCATTACATCACAGTGGCAAGATGAAAAATATAAAAATAAAAAGGGAAGGAGGAAAAGTCCAGCGTGCACGGACCAAGAAAAATGGATCTTCACTGTTCCTGACACAGACGGAGCTGTTGGGGGCGCAGGGTCCAGCGCCCGCAACCAGAGTCGCAGCCGGGAAGCCACTTTCCCGCAGCCCAGGCGCGACCAGAGTGGCGCCGGGGCGGGGGGATCCGGCAGGCGCGCCGCAGACTTCAAAGGCCCTGCGCCGCCGCCGCCCCCGCCCGCGCGCGCGAGTAGTACAGTCCGAGGGGGCGGCTCCTGGGGCGCGGCTCCCGCGGCAGCTGATGCGCGCCGCGCTAGCGGGTAAGCCGGACCCTGGAGCGGAGCCCTCGAGCCCTGGAGTCCCCGAGCCCCCGTGCCGCCGGGCGCTACGGACCAGGGACCCGAGGAGGCCCCAGGAGAGGCATCTTCCGGCGGGAGTCTCTCGGCTCCCGGGGCGCCGCGGCCGCACCGTTTGGGAAGGAGGACCAGGAGGAAGCGGTGCTGTCTGCGGACTGAGAGGAAGCGCTTCCACCCGGGCCCCCGACGGTGCTCGTTTAACCACATCCGCGCCTCCTCTGGAAACGCTTACAGGCGCCTGTCACCGGTTCCCTCCATTTTGAAAGGGAAAAAAGGCTCTCCCCCTTCCCCTACTCTTAGGAGCTGGAGCCGCAGGAGCCGCGCTCATGGCATTCAGTCCTTGGCAGATCCTGTCCCCCGTGCAGTGGGCGAAATGGACGTGGTCCGCGGTGCGCGGCGGGGGCGCCGGAGAGGACGAGGCCGGAGGGCCGGAGGGCGACCCTGAGGAGGAGGACTCGCAAGCCGAGACCAAATCCTTGAGTTTCAGGCAAGTACACGCATCCCTGCCGAGATGCAAACGTGCTGCCATCCATCCATCTGCGGCTCATTCTGTGCGTGTGTGTGGTCGCCCACCCGCGTAACCATGTTCATGGCAATGCTGCGTCCCTGCCTGTAACCAGGTCCCCGCTGTGCATTCAGAAGTTCAGGGTGTTCTGTCCTCCTATGTATTTTCTTTCCCCCGTTTCGGTATGAGCTTTCTGAACCTAACGCAGAATCTGCAGTCTCTCCGCATCCCGATCTACCTCAGTCACTTTCTATAAGCTTCAATCCCCCAGCCCCCTCCCCTACACACACACACACACACAGTGTCATGGGTCACACCCGGTGGAACTTGGGGCCCTCCCGGTGGGGAAGAAGTCTCTGTGTGTCCCTAAAATGCAGTCATGGTAAAGAAGGTCGTGTGATGACAGGCCTCTGGCAGCTGGTGAGAAATGGTGGTCTCTTCTGCGCTGTCACCCGTGTGATTGCAGAAAGCAGGTGACAGCATTCCCTGCCTTGGGCTGAGTGAGTTCCACACAGGTAGAGAGGCCTGTCAAAAGGAAAAGGCCTTATGGCGAGAATTGGTTTAGCTTTTTAGGGGGAGAGGGCAGTCTTTCTTTTTAAGCCTCTGAGAAAGGGCTCTTGTGAGAAAAGGAGTCTGTTGGAAAGCGCCTTTTTTGGGTGTCGGAGGGAAGGATGACATCAAAATAAATGGTGCTGGACAAAAAGCCCCGGAGGATAGAGATTTCAGGGAGACAGGATGCCAGACAGAAACCCTGCACAGCACTGCCCACAGGCCAATCTGTGCTGAGGACCAGTGGGTTGTAAAGTTAGGCAGAAATTCTGGATTCTAGCCTTTGTGGCTATCTAGATTATAAAAGGGTGTTGGAAATACCGTTGAAAGTGGTAATTCCTCATTTTTCCCCCTTGGCAGCTCGGATTCTGAAGGTAATTTTGAGACCCCTGAAGTTGAAACACCAATCAGATCACCTCTCAAAGAAACCTGTGATTCATCACTAGGATTGGCAGGACCTGGGGCCAAAACCCACGGTAAGGAAAGACTTTCATTTACTGCCACTTGTGTTTTGAAGTTTTCAAAATGTAAATAAAGGAAGGAAAAGTGTTAAAACTTACTGCCATTTAAAAAGGTTTGGATCGTCTCCTTACTGAAAAAGAGCTGTTTTTAAGCTCCTGGTTTACTTGAAATGTATGTTTGTTTTTTTAGGAGTGTAGCGGTCAGAGGCTTTCTTTCCTAAGTTTGTACATTTGCAGGATGAGATTATTGTTATTAAACCTTCCTGCTGGCCCCTTCCCCTCAGCCCCTAAAAAACAAAAATGTGTGGAGGAGCGCAGTGGTGGAGGTGTGTTTAGATTTGGCTTCACAGATTTCTTGGGTTAAGTCCCTGTCTGCAGGGGTGTGGCCGGAGACAAAAATTACAGGTAAGAACTGACATTTTTAGATAAGGAAGAATCTTAAGAGGCTGTTTCAAAATTGCTGACCTCTTCCACGCAAAATGGTGGTGAGCCTCTCAGTCCACCTAAGAAAACCTGGTGCAGAGATTCCCTCCTAGCCCCTCAGAGCCCAACCTTGAGCTTGCCCTTCATCTACAGAAGCCTCTGCTGTTCCACTTAATTAGTAGAAATCTTTTTTGTCACACAGCCAGTTTTGAGTAAAATTTCACCTGTCCTGATAGAATTCATTTATGTATTCAATAAATAGAGTGCACTGTGATTTAGCAGTGAAAAAGTCCTGCTCTCATTGAGCTAACATTACGGAGGGTTGATAGACCATTTTAAAGGTTAAGCGAAGTATATATGTCAGTTTGTCTTAAGTATTATGGAGAAAAATAAAGAAGGAGAAAGAGGTATAGGGTATATAGTGTGGGGAAAGGAGATGTTGAAGGGTAATTAGGGGGAGCCTTCCTGATAAGGGGACTTGAGCAGAACCCTGAAGGAAGATGGAGGGAACAGCCTTGCAGACTGTTGGGGAGAGAATCTTTCCAGCAGAGGAAATGGCATCTGTCAAGGTCTGAGACAGGACCAGCCTGTCTCAGGGTGAGGCTCCAAGGTGGGAGGGCAGCAGTGTGTTGGAGGACCAGTGAAGGGGCCAGTGTGGCTGGAGCGAAGTGATAGGCAGGGAGCAGTAGCAGCTGAAGTCGGCCAGGTAAGGGGAGTCTGGCTCATGTAATGATGTATTGATTTTCTCTCTGAGTGAGGTAAGAAGCCTTTTGGAGTATGTGTTAGCTTCCTAGGGCTACAAACTGGGTGACTTAAAACAACAAAAATGTATTCTATCACAGTTATGGAAACCAGGCGTCCGAAATCAAGGTGTCCGCAGGGCCATGCTCCCTCCAAAGTTTCTAGGAAGAATTCTTCCTTGTTTTTTCTCATTTCTTGTGGTTGCCAGCATTCCTTGGTGTTCCTTGGTTTGTGGCAGCATAACTCCAGCCTCTGCCTCCTTCCTGACACAGCCATCTTCTCCCTGTGTATCTCTGTATCGTCACATGGCATTCTTACAGGGACACCAGTCATTGGGCTTAGGGGCCACCCTAATGCAGTATTACCTCATCTTACCTTGATTACATCTGCCAAGATACTATTTCCAAATAAGGTCACATTCACAGGTGGGTCGGGGGAATTAGGACTTCAGTGTATCTTTTTGAGGGAACTCAGTTCAACTCACGACAGGGCTTTGAGCAGAGGGATTGTGCTTTGACTTTCTTTTTAACAGGCTAGCTGGTTGCTGTCTGGAGAAAGGACTGTAGAATGGATGTCCTTTTTATGGGTTTTCTGTATTCCAGTGTATGTCATTGTCACCCTATAGTGGAGATAGAGCCAGCCATCAGTTAGCCAGTTACCTAGATACTGATATGATTATGACTTTTTTTTCTCCCAATGGTTATTGCATTTTATTGCTTGGTAACTTCCTCACAGGTTGCTTAGGGAAGTCGAGTTCTCTATGACAGATGTCACGAAGAAGCTGGGTTATTGGTGAAATACCAGCTTTCTGTGATTTGCTTTTGCTTTAAATTGTGAGCTCCATACTGTGCTTTCCCTGCTCAGAATTGAGAGTGCCTTCCCACTCTCCCTGGGCTGCTTCTAACCATTGTTTTAGGCAGAGACCACTTGGGAACAGGCAAGTTTGTGTATTGGAGCATGCTTTGCAGCACTCTCAGTGCGGGAAGTTGCCACTTGTTTTTCAGAGCTTCCCTTTTCTTCTCTCAAGATTGGCAGATCAGAAAGGGAGAGTTAAAAGCTTGAAAAAACTATTTTGTAGCCTTCTCACCAAATTTAAATAAAGCTCACAAGACTTGTTAAGTAGCTGTTTGAAAGCCTGTTTGAATTTCCCTCAGCTTGGGCAGCCCCTTCCTCACCATTCTGTCAGCTGGTAGTCTGATTCATCCTGACAAATTCTTTGCTAATTGAATAGTGGCTTGTATGGCCCAGGCCTCCAGAGCCATAGAGACACAATTGTTTGATCCTTCCAGGGCTGTGACTCATTATTACTGGTTTTAGCAAGCACATTTTCTTTCACTCTCTCTACAAGTTTTCCTTTTAGAGAAAAAGTTGTAGAGTCCTGGACCACGAAAGCTCTGTGCAATAGTTTATGATTGCAGACCATGTATAATATATGGTGGGGGGTGGGGGGTAGCGTCTAGGAAACAACCACTGCATATTATGAAATTTCTTAATTTAGGGTCTTTGTATAATACCATGATTGCTCATCAACCTGGGAGTATCCTGCCTTCCAGGGCTTCTTCTACCCAACATCTAGAGCAGCGGTTCTCAACCTTCCTAATGCCGCGACCCCTTAAAATACAGTTCCTCATGTTGTGGGGACCCCCAACCATAAAATTATTTTCGCTGCTACTCTATAACTGTAATTTTGCTACTGTTATGAATCGTAATGTAAATATCTTTTTGTTTTCCGATGGTCTTAGGTGACCCCTGTGAAAGGGTCGTTTGACCCCCAAAGGGGTCGCGACCCACAGGTTGAGAACCGCTGATAGAGTGAGGCCAGAGTCCTGTTGATGGCCTTGTCCTACATGCACAGTAAACAGAAAAATACAACCACAGGTCTGACCAGGGAAGAAATCAGTGGGCAAAAATTCCTGGAGAGACATTTTCAATTAAAGTCTAATTTCTGGGCCTGGATGGTCCACTTTTTCCCAAAATCATTGGTTATTTGGCTCCTGATAAAGTTAGTCTTTCATATTTCTGTGGTTCTAGGACATGGTGGGACAGCAGGTGTAGATTATATAAGCCTGTATCTTCTGGAGTGATGAGCTATGTGTTACCCAGTCAGGGGCTGGAGCTAACATATGTAGAAGATTCTAGCTTCCTGGTATATAATGTCCCTCAAAAGTGTGAGCTATATCCCTCCCATATGCCATACCCATGGCCCCTACCCCAACCTCCCTCTAGCTCTTTGAACTCAGGGGAACATCTACATCTATTTTGAAGTTAATTTTCTCTTACTGGAAGTATTTTTAGGGACTAACACTATCTGAACTCTGTAATAACTTCTTAAAGACAGGATTGTATGCCATTCTAGAAATTAAATACCAGATGAAGCTGTGGTTTTTTTGTTTTTGCTTTTTAAGCTACAAATAGAAGCTGGTTTCAGACTAACTGTTAAAATAAAACTATAGCCAAAAAGGTTTCTTAAAAATACCAGAGTGGGGCTGGCCGAGTGGCTCAGTTGGTTAAGAGCTCGCTCAAGTGCAAGCTCTGAGCAACAGTGGTTTGATGCCCGGCCCTAGCTGAGCTGCCAACAGTCGGCAGGATGGCTCAGCTAAAAAAACACAAAAAACAAACCAGAGTGGTGGCTATGTTTGCTCTGGTAGTTCTGTTTGCTCTTTGTCTGTCTGCCTTCCTCCACAAAGGGTGTTTAAGCTGCTCCTGTTACTGTTCTTTCTCTCTGCTGGGTGATGTATCAGTGAGGAGACCACCTAGGAAAGGACTTTTGAAAGAGGTACAATCTCAAGTTCATCCCCCCTTTTTTTCGCGGGGGGGGAGGGAGATGCTTTATGGACTGTGGTTTTGTTCAGTATTTTAGACTATGAAAGCTGTAGTGGATGCCCTGTACTACTCGAGGCCCACCCACCAAAACACACCCACCTTTATTTATAGATTGTTACCCAATCTGTGAGAAAGAATCTTAACTCTTGCAGAACTTCTGATATGCCCTGGGAACAACTAGTTAAACCTACCTTGTTTGACGTGTTAATTAGACACCTCGGTATTTCAAAGACATACTGTAGTCCTCCAGAATAGAAGGAAAGAGGTAAACAGGATCAATCCACGATGTTTACTCCTGGAGAAGTTGGTTGACACAGTTTTGGGCCTCTTGATTTGGAATCAGCAAACTATGGCTCAGAGACGAAATCTGGCTTGCGGCCTGCTATCCTATTATTGTTCTGCCTGAGAGCTAAGAATTGTTTTTACATTTTTAAATGGTTGAAAAAAATTTTGCCATGTGTGAGGATTATATGAAATTCAAATTTTAGGGCCCATATTAAAGTTTTGTTAGAAGGCAGCCACACTTGTTCATTTAGGTATGGTCTGTGCTGTTTTCACACTGCAATAGCAAGGCTGAGTACTTGGAACAGAGACCAAATGGCTGGAAAAGCCCAACATAAAAGTTTGCTGACTTAGATCCACACTTAAGACAATTTTGGCAATTTGGGATAAGTAATTTGGGATAATGACTTTTAAAAAAGCAGTAAGGCTATCCCTGATTAATTGACAAATGAACTGTGGGTGCTGGGTGTCCTTAGTGTAGGCCTCTGTAGTAAGGTAAGGCTTCAGGGAGAGACGGCTTTGGGCCGGCTATTTGTGTCTTCTGCAAAATGGAATGATGTATTAGGTTGTCAGAAAAGTGATGATGTATTTTTTTCTATGTTTTTCGTTGCAAAAATGCGTCATGACTTTTCCGACAACCCAATAATTGGTCTGTCCATGTACTTGACTCTCAATTGACTAAAAGATCTCAGAAATTAAGACAAAAGGAAATTAGGGGAGAATGGAGAGAATTTTGCAATTATTTA